TTGTGGGGGGGGGGGGGGGGCACATGCACACCAAAAGATTATGGGTTCAATTCCAGTCAGGGCACATACCCAGGTTGAGGGTTCAACCCCTGGTAGGGGTGCCTATGGGAGGCAACTGATGTATGTCTCCCTCCCTTTCTCTGCCATTCTCTCTAAAATCAATAAAAACATATCCTCAGGTGAATATTAAAAAGAAATAAATACATAAATAAATAAAATCAAAAGAAGAAAAGAAATATATCTTTGGAAATTTCAAATGATGAATTAGATGAACTATTATTTAATATCTAGATTTAAGTGCACCTAAATGTTTTAAAAATGTAAAAAAAATTCGGTTCAACAAATTCAGTAACAAGAGGAGAGTAGTATCCTTCCCTATTCAATATTTATAGTTCTCTGTGTCCTCTTACCACTTTTATAAACCTCTATTGTAGCATTAGTTTATTATAAAGTACATTTACTCGTCTGCCTGCCTTCCCTGCTAGACTGTGATCTCTTTGAGGACAAAGATGATGGTTCATTCAGCTTTGTATCACCAATGCCTAGCTGAAGGCCAGACTCATGAAAGGTAGGTTGAGTGAGCGAATAACAATGTGCTTAGTTAGTAGAGCACCAAGTTAATGAGGCTAAAGACATGGGTTGCATCCCTGTGTAGCCAATTAGCTTTGTTCTATTTCTTGGTCCAAATGGCACCCTTAGTTCGCACCAGCTGTCTCATAAATGTTCGCCAGAACAATCCTTCTAACTACATAGCCCAACAGTGGTGAGTCAGTAACACAATAATAGTGGCTAAAGTTTGTTTAACACCCTTATAAACTGTTTCTACATATGTATATTCTCATTAAAAACTTATCTTTACAAAGCAGCAAGACAGAGCTAGCTGGTTTGGCTCAGTGGATAGAGTGTTGGTCTTTGGACTGAAGGGTCCTGGGTTTGATTCCGGTCAAGGGCACATACCCAGTTGCGGGTTCGATCCCTAGTAGGGGGTGTGCAGGAGGCAGCCAATCAATAATTCTTATCATTGATGTTTCTATCTCTCCCTGTCTCTTCCTCTCTGAAATCAATAAAAATATACTTTTTTTAAAAAAAAACAGCAAGACATTATAGTAGTCTTATTGTTGTCCCCAAACTAAATGTTAAAACAGAGACTCAGAAAGGCTACATGACTTATCTGGTTGGATAGAACCAGTAAGTGGTGGATTCTAGATCAGAAATCAGGCATTTGATGTCTACTTCAAAACTGATTCCACCATAAATTT